CACCACTGCCTCCTTCTCTCTTCCCTGGAATCCATCAACAGACTTGATCTCCAGCTCTGCATGATTATGAGACAGCTTCTGTCTCAAAAGATCCACCTTAAACAGACAAAATCTATTTTTTTTAAATGCATTACTGCTATTTATACTGAAACATTTTTTTTTGCTTTGCAGGCATATATAAAAAATGTGCTCTTTTACACATCAGTTCTTTGAAAAGTACCTCACCTGGAGATTATAGGGTGCAATAATCGCAATATCCTTGACTTGAACTCCAGCCTCAGTAAGAGCCTTTATATGAAGTGCCACAATGTCTACCTCTCCTGTGGAGTAATAGAGAATAAAAAAAACATTCAGAAGGCATTTCATAGCTTAATTATGCACTAATATTGTGTTTGGAGCTGATATCAACCTTGATTTCCTTTGGACTGCTCATCTGTGTCCTCCATTTCATTCAGGCCACAGCTTGCAGTGTCAATGAGCAGAAGAGGAATTCTGGTTTCCTCAACATCAGCAACACCAGCCAGGTCTCTGTTCAAGATGCAATTAGTTCTCTTCAAATGTATCTTTCTCTATATATAGAGGTTGCTAGCAGACTTAAAATATACACTACCATTCAAAAGTTTGGGGAAGGTAAGGGTTTGAAAGAAGTCTCTTATGCTAACCAAGGATGCATCTATTCGATCAAAAATATAGTAAATATTGTGAAATGTTTCCATTTTAATATATTTTAAAATGTAACTTATTCCTGTGATGGCAAAGCTGATTTTTCAGCAACCACTACTCCAATCTTCAGTGTCACATGATCCTTCTAATATGCTGATTTGCTGCTCAAGAAACTTTTCTTCTTATTATCAATGTTGAATATTTTTGTGGAAATGGTGATACATTTTGTCAGGTCTCTTTGGTGAATAGAAGTTAAAAATTCTTTGAATAAAAATGTAAATCTTTTGTAACATTATAAATATTGCTACTTTGTTTTGATACATTTTGATCAATTTTTGCCGAATAATAGCAACTTACTCCAAAACTTTGGACTGGTACTGTAAAAAAAAAAAAAAAACCTTATAGAAGCCCCCTCAAACAATGTACTTGGAATGTTTTTCAGAAACAATTAACATATTTTATATTACATAGTATTTCTCCACTGAAGTGTGTGCGATTAGTTTGCCCTCATACATCTGCTCTGAAGCCCACTGCATGATGGCACTATTCATACGGTACTGAGTGGTCAACATTCGAACCACTGAGTCTCCGTATTTCTTTATCAGCCTCTCCATTAAGCTGACAGACAGGCCTTCAGATGCAGCACTGTGAAAGATATAAATAACATTTATTACATTTCAACTAAACATTCATGCAATTCATGTAATAAAAAACATGAATAATCTGAAATACTGACCAAAAATATCATGTATATTAATAGTTATATCATGAAAAGAAAACGTTAAGAGCTCATCAAGAATAGATACCATAAAGCAAATAATTCACAACCGTAAGATATATTCCTTTTCCTTCATACCTCTGTGATTTGATCGTTGGTGGCAGCTGTTTGTAATCCCCAGCCAGAATGCACTTGCGTGCTTTGAGCAGAGCGATCCAACAGCTGCTCTCTAGAGCCTGAGCACACTCATCTATCACCACCAGGTCAAAATGATCATTGGGAAGATGTTTGAGAGGACCATCATCAGAGGCTCCTATATTACGCAAATCAATCATATCTGAGTTTAAATCAGGCATAAACAAACAAACAAACATATCGCATAATAAAATTGATGACTGCTAAGAAAGGTTTCCTTACCAGTGTTAGTTGCTAGAATAACATCGGATCTTTTCAGGATCTGAGTGATAGCTGTTTCCTCCCTGGTCTTTAGCTCTCGCCGCAGTTCCCTGATTTCCCGTCTCAGATTGCTCCGTTGGCCTTTGTCACGAGCCTTCTTCATTTCATTCTGTCAATGCATTTTTTTTATTTTGACTATTACAACAAGGCCCCAACACATATGTGAATACTATAGTCTTCTGTCATATTGGATATGCACATTTATAAGGTCTCTAAATTATCAACATGTTCAAAACTTTCCTCATAAACCTGTTGAACAGTCTTCCACATGTGCCTTCTCTCTAACTGATAGTTCATAGTTTTTTAGCAAGTAAAAGACCTTTTAAAAGAATCATAAAACGGTCCACTTCTGGTTGTGGTACACATGTATTTTTGCTGTGAAATTACTGATTTTTACATTTCTTTTATATCGTTGGTAATATTTTAAGACGAACACTTACTGAACTGAAGCAACTTAGCTTTACTTGATTATCCATACACCACTTTTAGAAAAAACATGTTAAATGTGAGTATCAAATCTTTCAATCATTATTGTATTGCATGTTTTGCTCCCTACAATTAAAACTACAGAGCTTTGATCATAAAACTAAGCATTTAAATATCATCTTGAGTCCGAAATTTTCGCACGTTAAAAAATAAATACGACCTCACGCTGTGTCAATCACGTTTACACACTGCCTCCGAAACTTTCGTCCGTCATAAAAAAAAATCGGATCAGGTTCGATTTTCTGCGTTTTCGCATCCATAGCAACCATTTTGATAGGAAAGGATGACGAATATGAAAAAACTATTTCGGACTCAGTGTGCAAGGACCTTAAGACACATTATTGGCAGCTATAGAGTGGCAACTGATATATGCATCTTACGTAAATAGGTCATATATACAATACATATAATATTATATACTGTATAGTATGGTATACTTATATTGTTATAAAAAATATATTTATTAATATTAATTGAAAAACATTTTTGTGAAAAGTTTTATTTGAAAAAAAGTGATATTGTTCTTTGAAATAAATTGCAATTTTAAGTGTGGCTGAAACAATTTTTGTTCCACCTAAATGTACCATTTGAATGAGCAGCTCAAACAATTATGATAAAACAAAATCTTACAAAAGCTTTGTCCATGTCCTTGCAAATATCAGAAATTATGTTGGTGTTGTCACTGTGTGCAAGGACCGCATCCAGCGAGTGCTTCTGAATCGACTCGAGCAGACGGGCTGGGTGACCCAATCTTAAAACCTTGACCTTGCTTTTTGCCAGGCGCTCCACCAAGTTATCAACAGCCACACTGGAAGGAGCACAGCAAAGGACCTGTTATCATTTACTCAGATGTTCACCACAGTACTGCATCTATACTACATCAAATAATGTACACCTTAATGAACCAGATTAAGAGTTTGATATCTTGCTCACCTTTTGTTCCTGTTTTACTGCCTGCAGGATTACTTCAACAACTGTAGTGGTTTTGCCAGTTCCTGGTGGTCCATGTATGATTGCAACATCTTTTTGAGATATCGCAAAGGACACAGCCTCTTTCTGAGAATTATCTAACCTAGTGTTGCTAAATTCCAGTGCATCTGCAATAAAAGAAATACAAACAGACTTAAGACCCCATTGTACTAGGGTTTTGTACAATGCTGTATTTTAGATCCCTTTCACATGCCACTCTGTGTATATGCTTACGCTGATGTGATAATATCCCTGGTTCTGAGTAACCAAAGAGGACACTGATCAGGTGAGATGCAGGACCACTGCCGTATCCATTTAAAGACTTCAAGGCACTGCAGGTAGGAAATGCATCATGAATGCAAACAATTTCATTCACATAATTACATGTAGCATTTGGACCAATCAGACACACAACTTTTTGTTATATTTAACAAATAATATCTAACGCCCCCTCACCTAACCAAAGGGCCAATTACGAGGGTCTATGGACCCTTCCCCACATGTATAAAAAAATAACTGCTTGAATAAACCTGTGTATGTAGAGCATATTAAATCAAGCTAATTTTTTTAAATCCTAAAAATTAGAGACTAGATTTTTTTGAGAAAAAACTAATATTTAATTATACTAGCTGTATGGACTGACAAACACACATACTCTGAGTCTCCTGTAGGTCACATCATTTGCCAGCTTCATTAGATTGTAAAGTCCATCTCTGTCCAAGTTCATACAATCTTGTGTGTCATCAAAAGCCACCGTCAGTGATGCTTGAGTAACACGTGTCACCACACCTGAACCCAACTGAGACGGCTGACCCTGACCCTCTGCCTGATACAAACCTATAATATCACCTAGAAACAGAATACAAAAGATAGTAAATAATATTTGAGTTAAAATGTGAAGTGGCTCATTGGTCAGTATTGTATGAAATCAAGTACTTCAATAGAGAAGAATGTCTCACCAGGTCCAAAGGTGTTGCTGGGCAGAACTGAGGCTCCTATACTTTTCCTGGGTTCAAAAACTACCAGGAGTCTGCCATACATGCCAGTGTGCTGGCTTGCGATCTGAAGTTTCAGCAGGTACACTCCTTTGTGCTGGAGATTCTTGGGAGATAAATTCTCCCGCCATGCTCTGACAATACAAGGAATATTTAAACAAGAAGTTCCTCATAGTTGAATACATTTGGGTAATGGAAATGAATAGCTATCTAAATACCAACCAAGAACAAGTGTAGAACTTATATATATATATATATGTATAATTTACCGTGTTTCTTCTAATTCAGCTTCTCTCTCTTCTTGCAGGAGCTCAAGAGTCTTGGAAACGAAGTTTTCAACCTCCATAGCTGTCAAATCAGCTTGATGGATAACTAAAAGGATATGCTTGACTCTTCCTCTGCTTATTTAGAACTTATATAATAAATGTTTATAATGTAAAAAGTGTACGTCTGTCATGTCTGTTTATATATTACAGCGCATGCTCTTGAAAAGGTCCGTCTCTAAATTCAATCCCACTCCGTACAGAAGATCCAGGCACTGTGATTTCGTCACGAACAAAAATAGTATTGAACTATTAAAACATAGAACGACTACATAATTATTTGAGATATATATAATAACATTTATTGCAAAGGTAAAGTACAAAATATTCACATTTTACGACAAACTTGATGCGGAACGTATATTTTTCCCCTTGAGGAGGAATATTGTTGTTGCACCGGTCATGCTCATCCTTTGAGAGAACGATGGAATGTCAACGGTGAAGAGCTACACTCAATTCTTGTTGCGTTTAGCCGTGCAATAGTGTACCTTAATTGGGATATCTAAAAAGACAGTTGATTTACAGTAATACAGAATAATGGCTCGAGTAGTGAAAGTGTTTCGGACGTTAAGAAATCACTGGAAAAAATCCACATTTGCTGTGTGTGTGCTGTCATATGGAGGACACTGGCTATATGGAAAGCACTGGTTTGTGTTATCTATCTATCTATCTATCTATCTATCTATCTATCTATCTATCTATCTATCTATCTATCTATCTATCTATCTATCTATCTATCTATCTATCTATCTA